TTCCTTTGTTATTTCATCCTTTGGTTTGCATAGGATTGATTGTAGTGATTTTGTTGGTTTGTGTGCCACACCTATCCCAAGTATCTCAAGTATATAGGAAACCGACCCATACAGATCAAATTCTCAACTACAACAGCAACAACCCAAGAGCTCACAAAATCAACTGCGTACACACATTGTTCAAGAGGGCGAGGACACACTGCAGCACATTGGCAGCACGAAAAAATGAAGAGAAACACCTGAAGGACATATTTCAAAAGAACGGCTACCCAATCAACTTCATCAAAAAGCACCAACGGCACACAGCATCAGAACCCAAGTCAACCACAAAAATCAACAAAAGGATCACCCTACCGTACATAAAAGGAATATCAGAAACCGCAACGAGACTGCTGAAAAACTTCGGGATAGGTGTGGCACACAAACCAACAAAATCACTACAATCAATCCTATGCAAACCAAAGGATGAAATAACAAAGGAAAACAAATCAAACATCATCTACAAAATAAATTGTACCAACTGCGACAAACACTACATCGGGCAAAGCGGACGCCCCCTCCATCTACGCTTACATGAACATCAATTAGCAGTCAAACGCCATGATATCTCTTCACTTATATCAATACACGTGGATAACTACGGACACTCATTCGATTGGGAAAATGTAGAAATCTTAGACAGAGGAAACTCCAAAAATACCAGAGAATTTTTAGAAGCCTGGCACTCAGGTCAATCAGCAATCAACAAACATATTGAAATCAATCCAATTTATCAACCAATCAGAAAAAATCATGCATAAATATAGGAACGAAAATCAAACCAATGGAAGACACAACCAAAACAAAGAAGTAAACAATGATAAATTTAAGGTCAACAAGAACCAATCAACATCGAGGTGCACAGAACAAGCTGTGAAACACATATGGAGAAATTCTAACACCTCACTTCTATTTGAAGTTTGTGCTGATGATGTCGTTCAGAAGAACGATGAAAGCTCCACGATCAAACCATCCAGCTCAGAGAACAAAACTCCACCAAAAACAACACGACCATTTAAACACAAAATACCACCACGAGTAATGGATAATTTATCCTGATCTGAAAGAAATAAAGGAAATATACGTTTCAGATTAACATTCCGACCTATCTGTGTATCGCTGAGTATACATCCAAAGAATCTACAGGTTTCTCTAATGATATCTGAACGTCTCATCGACAAAGTTTGTACTGACAAACAGTTCGCAGTGTTATCAGGTTTATCTTGTAGTGATTGTCGAAATGTGTAGTCAATATGTTGAGGTTGTTTGATACTTCCGTGCTGAGCCGTGCAGTCTTAAGCACCCAGAGCAATACTCCGTCGTTGAACCACAGCAGCTGAGGAACGTGCTAAGGATTTTTCAGGATAATAAATAAACTTGGTGATCTATAACAATAATGAATTTCTTCCGAAACAAACATTTATGAAGTCGTTTAACAGACCAAAGCACAGTTAATGTTTTTGGTCGAGTTTGTGAGTGACCTCGTTCTGCAACAATAAGTTTTCATGAAACATAGATTACAGGTGAACCTTCCTGCTTCGAAAATCTACTGCACTGTAGAAGAGTAAGTTCGAAGAACAGAATCACTTTGAAGAAACTCTGGTAAACGTCGTGTTCCTCGCCCCATTCAGACTAATTGAATGTCAAAGGATTAGATACGTAATTGGCATGACAAGAAAAATTAGGACAGGAATGGTATTGAAGGTTGTAGTGTCAGTTATTATGCTAAGCCCATATACCTTATTCTAGCTTTCGGACATCCCATTTTATTCATTCTGCTTGAACCATACTTTGACCTTTTTATTTATTCGCTTATCAACCTAGACTGTTTTTATATGAGCGTATATGTGTGTGCCCTTCTTATTCCATTAATCATATGTCTGTAGCTTTATTTTGTCTGACTATAAATATTGAGTAACGCTTGACTAAAATGGAGTTGGCTTCCCAGACATCTTCCCTGCGTGTCGTTTTGCTTTGCTTTGTTTCATTCGCTCCATATGCAAAATATGTGTATGCACAGATCAATTCTCGTTATTTGACTCATTTTATTCTGTTATTGACTAACGCGATTAAGTCGACGATGATCTACGAGGATAGGCGATAACAAACATCCATACGATCTAATTGGAGTCAGATATACGGGCCACTAAAATGGTGAGCCCTTCAATGAACATCGTTCGACCTAAATGAGGACAAAATTAAATGACGGGCCGCTAAAATGGTAACCCCGACGTGACAACAGGCCACCAAAAGGTCTTCCACTAGTGAGCGCAGATCCCTAAGATTTTTCTGCGAGTGTGAACTTTTCAGTGGGACTAGTTGATTCATATCTGGTTGAAAACCGTTACTGTCAAATAGATTTAGTGGCCCTCGATGCGCAGGGAAGATGGCTGGGAAGCCAACTCCATTTCAAGCTAGCCATTACTCAATATTTATAGGCAGACAAAATAAACCACAGACATGTGATGAGTCATGGGACCTGAAGTGTACACACATACGCTCATATGAAAACAGTCAAGGCTAATAAGCGAATAATAGACAAGGTCGAAATATGACTCAAGCAGAATGAATAGAATGGAATGTCCGGAAACTAGGATAAGATATATTATGGGCTGAAACTAATGACTAACACTACATAGGTACCCATAACATTTAAAACTAGATACACGACATGAACACTTATTTGGATTCACGGTTAAGTACTCCTCAGTTGGAAGACGCAATAAAGGAACACGTACCTGATCACGAGCTACTTCATGAGAATCACGAATAACAAAATCATCTTAATAAATTTCAATACTTTTGAGATCACTGTATAAATAATTCATCACTTCACAAAATATGGTCGGAGAACAACTCAAACTGTATGAAAGTTGTATTTGAATAGACCAAAAGGAGTCTTAGTTTTTGTCAAAACAGACAAAGATTGATCTGAGGGGATTTAAAGATAACCGCTTCGTAAGTCAACTTTCATGAAAATCTTAGAACCATCACGTTGACCAGGAATATCTTCAGCTTCCACCGTCGTGCGTTTGCCTCAACAAACAGGCGTTTAGTTTTAAGTTATGATCACCACATATGCTATGGATCTCGCCACCAGACTTGAAGGGCGTAACAATGAGAGTACACCACATTGAAGGCTTTACCGGTTCAGTTATACGTTTCTCACACAAATAGTTCAATGCCTTAAGTATTTCTCCTTGGAGAGCAGAAGGAACTATTCGTAGGTGCAATTGACCATTGGATAAACATTTATCAAAGCCTGTAATCTCTGTAGATTGCTTTGCATTTCTTCGCTCAATCACCCACAGTTTCATGAGAATGGGAAACATTATTAAACAAACGAGAGCTTGAGCAAAATTTAGTTCATCAACCAAAGTATAAATTCTCACTGGCTGAACATCATACTCATTTACTATCCCATAGTTAATTCACGCTGTTTTAATTTCTTGAAATGAACTTTGAGGTTTCTGAAATAATTCTCTTCCCAAATTTGAAATATTTATACCGGTAATTAATCGGTCGCGAAATTGAGTTTCTAACCAGTCACCGAAATGGCACTTCTCAGCCTGTTTCTGTAGTTCAAATATAAATTATTTAACTGCCTCTTCATTTTGTCGCACCTTTTTATGAAACCTGGATCTCTCTCTGCATTCAAAACTAGAACACTGCATATGACTAAGTAGTAATTGATTGAGAGATTCAAATGACAATTAAATTGATTTCTCTGGGAAAGCCAGTTTGTTTATCAGTTTAAAAGCTTCTTTTCTTATGAACTTCAGGAAATAAGTTATAAATTCATCATATTTAATATCTTTTCTAGTCATGTACAAGATTTCGAAGCACTCAAGATGTGACTGCATGGCGAATCCAGTATGATGATAAGATGTATACGAACTAATGAGCTAACTACGAATTTCCGAAAGTGCACTTTGCAAAGCAGGTAAACCCAGGTCAACACAAATGAATGTACCATATTTTAAGTTCATAATCAGTGTAACGGAATCCTCAATTAGTGCAAATACCACAGTAATCGCAGTCACATTAAACCCATTTTCCATCACACGTTAGCATCGTTCAACCGTCAGGAATCCACTTTGAGAGGAATTCCAAGACAGAGTCCTTGTTGGAAACCAACCAGGCGAAGTGTACTATGGATATTTGATGTTTGCAAACTGTTTCATAGAGTGTACTGTACCAGCCCTATTTGTAGAAGACTGCACTCGAGTTTGAATGATTGTGAATTAGAGAGGAATACAACTCTAACTGTGAATTGTGTGCATTACCGTTTTACTCAAGATAGAAAGGAAACATTATTCGTTTTAGCACGCATTACGACTACATAAAATGTTCAGAAAATAGTATCTATTCAACTTCACTATACTAATCTCGGAATTCTCTAGCATGTGGGATAGTCAGAGCAGATTTATCACAATCCTTCAGGTGGGTACGTGATGTCTCCCTTTGGTTTTAATGTAGTGTCGTGTATCGACAGTTTCCAACTTCGTTTCTCTACTTTTACTGTGTCTTCGTACGATTCTGTTTCCGCTTAGATTGCTTGGAGTCATGACATCTCAGTAAAATGGGGTATTGGTCTATCCATGATTATTTAGAGTACTATCGATCGTGAATATTGTACACTTTGACTTGTATTTATAAAACTAGCAGTTGAAGGTCATCGTCACCGGACAATCAAACCTTTTGGATCATAGGCCTATGTTGTGATTTCGGACTGTTCCTATTATCCCTAATTCATGTGGCTTGTCTACCGTTAAAGGATGCCACTGGAATTTGTCACGTCATTGGATATACAGGTGCTGACTTGTTGAACTCATTACTTGAATCGATTTCCGTCAATGAGCTTAACAAATGTTTAGGCACAGTCAAGAGGTGCCAAATATTTTTTTGGGGATCGAGTGATCAAAGTAATATCGTAGTTATTCACTAGCGCTTGTCTCCATATGAGTTCACCACGTCGGAATCCTGTAGGGAATGCAAGAGTCTTCGCTACTGGTAGAATGTCACATAAAAATGTTTCCAAATTTTGTCGGTCTCCGGGTGGAATCCTTTTTTCGAGTGTATCAGGTGGCTTTCCCGACGTCCATTCCTCAGACGGATACTCTGCAGACGTTCCAGTGAAGTGTGCTCAGAAGGAAGATGATAGGAATATCCACCCTGTCTCTCTGTTTAATAGCCTTCTAGATCCTAACATCGAGTTACCAACAATTAGTGTTCGAGAAGTTGATGAAATACTCAGCAATCTGACTTCCGAAAACTCGTCTCCATCCAAACCCACCAATGGTTTATCAAGCAACAGTACTATCCATATTAATTTCTGTGATATACCTGACAATCTATGTCACGATTCAGTCAGATACATTAAAACTGGAGCTATAAGTAAACCACATCCTTTCAGTGGAAAAAATTGCTCGTTGCAGTCTATTAAAGTCAGCCTTATCAATGAGACCGAGGACATAGAAGACAATGTAGCTAATGATTCATCTATGTGTATCAATAGTCCTCAAGTTGACCGACTACCTGTGTCATCAAATGTATGTCACACCTTGGTTTTGGACAGTACTGCGTCTTCTGAGGCTAGAAATTCATTCGATGATCTAAGCACTCTTGACAGCCCACCTGTACAAAATTCTTGTCATATATCTTCCTCTAGGCATCAGACCATTGATGTTAAGAAACACGGAAATGAAATTCCCCATAAAAAGAATAATCCAAAAACTGTTTCGCTACAATCAATGGCGGATATACTTCCCCTTTTTCCATCATGCCGAAGTGTGGCTGAATTGGGTGCATTAGCACTTGGGTCAGATTTCAGCGGAACAGCGACTCATAAACATAAGTTCCCCAATGCAACACTGCGCTCTAAAGCGTGCTCTGGTACGAACCTCTGTAACATATCCTCCAAAGCCTCCATATCTAATGTTCTTCGTGATCGCTCTCCAATCGGAAGTCTCGACTTAGCCACTCATGCAAGATACCAAAATTCTTTTAACGCTTCAAATATTCATGAAACAAGCAGGTATCGACAAGCTTATCTGTCAGTAAGAAAAGCAAATCAAGCCAAAATTTTGTCCAAATCTACTGCGAATACGGTGGAGTTTTCTGTTTTTAATGCTAAGAGTCAAGAAAATACAGGCAATCAACATGTGAGTACTAGTTCTTGCTAAATTCCTGTTTTTGATACTCGGCCATGCCTTTTTTTAATGATTGAAAACAAGTCAAGTAAATGGTACATGTGTTAAGATTAATAACTAACCAGCTCAAAACAACATACTTCAATGCGATGTTTTTCATCCGAATAATCATGGTAATGTTGTAATCAGGTGATACTGCAAGCTAGTAGATCAGCATATAACCTCACCCTGCGCGTTAAATGTTAGGTCGAGTCTTTACATTTATCTGTAGGTGCTTACATCGTCTTATTCAGTTGTTCCCAAAGTTTGTTGGATCTCACTAGTGGCTTGGATACTAAACCTTACTATGTGATAACAGCATCGCTCCTATTTTTCCTAGCCACCCTCATGGATAAATACTGGTCTAGTTAGCATTAAAAAATCAAATAACTGCCAGTAAGTCTCTGAAGGTATCAACTGTAAGATGACTGGTTCGAAACCCTTTACATTTGCTTTACTCCAAGCAGTTGAATGGTGTCATTCCTCTTTACAATTTTTCCCAACTTTATCCACAGACATCTGTGACTTCAGTTGTTTATCCGTTACGCAAAGATTTACTTAACGATTACCTACTAATCATTTATATTTAAACATATTTCGCCTTAACTATATGGCAATTGCCATTACTACCCAATTGCAAAAGTGTAGCATGTTTTCTGTCAAGTTTGTGTGAACTGTTTTCTTCCATATAGGTTTCTTATCAACCACTGGAAAGTCCTCAGCCCACAGCGGGTATGGAAATCACGTCGACAAATCGTCTTGGTTGTTCAACAGGTACTACTTCAGATGACCGTTTCAAACATATTGTAAGTGGTCACTTGTTTTTCTTTATCCAAAAGTCAAGGATAATTGTCCCTTAACACTGATTTTAACGATTGCCTTTAATTCAACATCTGAAATAATGCTAGAGTGGTCGGTTTTAAAGCGGAAATATTGATTATCATTTATGTCGAACTTCTCATGTATGCTCAGAATTAACTACCTAGTTTCTATTTTCTAGATATTAGTCCACTCCTTGAAAAGATTTAATCAGATTCTTCTGAACACATTAGTAGGTGAACCTAGAATATTTCAAGTTTCTAACATTTTTTAACTAGAAGATACCTCAATACACTATAACACCAATTAATAAAGTTCTTAATTATTGTCTTTAGCTGTCTGAAAAGTAACAGTTTTCTGATGAATTTTTGTCGGAATCAATCGTTAGAATTCCGAATCGGTATATTTCAGTTTAGTCAGCCTGGAGTATACGCATTTTTTTCTCAAGTCTTAGATACCATTTTATTCAAAAGTTATACTCATTGTTTACAGATTTATTCCTAATTATTCATACCGTTTTCCTACCACTTTCAACTTAATCCGTTTACAACTTCATAAGTAGAATGGAGCGCATGCTTCTTTATAGGTCCTACCTTTTGTCTATTTTACGGACTTTCACTAACTAATAGTACTCATTTGTCAAATCGGAGTTGAGTATATTATTAGTTTTACGTTCATTTTAACCTTCAAAGGTGAATTACCACTTAAGAACCGGACGTTTTTTCGAACTGAGGAAACAATGATCCGTCTAATGTATCTAATCAGTTAGTGTGCATGATCTTCAACCACTAAATTGTGCGCTCATATTGTAATATTCTTACTGATGTCTGGTATATAATGTTTTGAGATTGAACGGAATATCGTAAAATTGGTAGGAATTTTTCAGTTTTGTTAGAATACCCATATTTATTCCTACTTTGAAGCATAATTGCCGTTTAGTCGTGTTTTTTCCAACAACAGTGTCCTCATCCAAGGTGCGGTCGTCGATACCAAGCTGAAATTGGACTTCTTCGTCATTTAGTTAAATATCACGGTGAACAAATTGAGTTGCCTCAGAGAACGCGCTCTGTAGCCAATCAGCAAATTTTGAGGCGTCCGGCATCAGAGGAAAGGACAATAACATCCATAGGATTTAATGATATTGATGAAATGGTAGGAATCTTTTTCTTTGCTTTTTGTATTATGTTTCTGTTTTATTCTAAGATTTCTAAAACAATGAGTTTAATTCTAATTACGTTGGGACCACTTGGTATCTCCAAGTTATTAGTTGCTGATTTATTTTAGTTATTTTTCCCCTTCTGATGGTTATCAGAATGTACGTTCAGGTTCATGTGCAAGGCTTGTGATTCACGCTTTTTTTTCCAACTGAATTTCAGTCGGGATATAGGGTTTTTACGAATCCACCAAAGATCACACAGTACTTATATGTTTTACTTGTAGTAGAACTTACATTCTTGTTCTAATTTTGTTTCTATAATGCTTTTGACTAATTGGTTGCTCATTGACATCGACTCAGCAGTCTTATAAAAGTATACGAAAGCATGAATATCATATTTAAGTACTTGAAATAGAATTTTAATTATATATATATATATATATCCTCCAACAGTATTGATGTAAAATAAGTGGGTTTTGGTTAGCAATGGAATCTAGGGTACCCGTTCTGTCTTGTTCGATATTCTTCAGCTGGATGCGTCTGCACCTCGATATAGATGTTTACATTGCGACTTGAATGAGGAACCTTTCACTCCCGATATCAACGCGTTATTCACTAAACTGCAGGGTCTAGGTAGCCAAATAGAGAAAAACGCCCGTTCTTGACTTCACTGCTAATGACAATACATATATTCTAAGTAGTTTGTGAAAAATGACTACTTCAAGACAATTCCGTCAAAATACACGTATGCCGACACAGTCTAAACTAAATTTAATACAATATATCAACAGTAGGGTAGCTGAAACATGTACTATTGGTAATCCAGATGTTAATATAGTTCACTCCTCACTTTCATTTTGTGGACTCTTCAGACAACCTCTTAAAATGACTTATTCACAGAGTTGATCTTAATTAAAATGAAGTTACGTTCATACCAACAATAATGATGAACCATAGAGGTAACTTACATTTTCGTAGATTTTCAGCAATCATTAAGTGAATCGTTTTTGCTTACTAACTACAGTAACGTACTAAGTGATAATTATATTATTATTATCATCCTGTTTATTATCTATCACAATCACTTCGATAAGTTTTCTTATGATGCATTCTTCACTTCTAAATTTATCAGACAGACTTACATTTTTGTAATCAGTTAAATGTTAATGTAACTAGCTAGTTATGTACAAATTTATGCATTCGGTACAGTGTTACGATTCTTTGTTCAGTGATTATTGTTTTGGATAATCTTTGTTGTAGAAACAGCCGGCTTCGGACCTGTAACTTAGTTGTTGAAGGTCACTCATTTTATAACCATTAACAGCGTCAGTCCATGAAATCCTCGACCTCTTTATTGTCTCGCGTTGGTTGGCGTTCGCACGATTATTGTCACCAATGGTTAGAGACGTTGGGTTTCATGGCTCAGAACCAGCCACTAATTTATTCTTCCTCGAATCCAATTGTTTACGTTTAATCTGTTCTACTACTACTGTTATTACTTCGGTTATTCTGGAGCTTTTCTCGATAATTCTTTCACTATGCTGATACAGTGTGACAGTTTAAAGCTGTGCACAAATGTGCCGGGTTCTACGTGCTAATGACTGATTGAACCACTGACCTTTTTTGGCTCTCACCAGAAAATGATGAAAAAATTCAGATGGGCCGTGATAAAGACCATGTTAAAATAAAACAATCATACCTATCAATTAGTTAACCAAATTCTTTTAATTATCCACTACCACAAAGTAATAGTGATAATTGCCTACTGGCAAACTTGTGATAAGTTCACACAAAAATTATAGCACATTTATCAAACTAACATGACTGCCAACAAATTTATCGTACCCCGTCACTTTTGTTCAAACTCTTGACCAATAAATTGATTTCCTAGTGGTTAAACCACCCACATTTCAATCGGTAGGTGACAGGTTCAGACCCTACTCCCACCAAATTGGTTTTCACATAACTAGATGACATCTCTTCCATTAACGTGATTGTCTGGTTCTATATGTTGTTTATTTAGTTTTATATATGCCTATTTCATTTTAAGCCTGTATACATATATCTCACAGTTCAATAATTTCTGTAAACGTAATTTTACTAGTTCTAAATTTTGGGTATTTCTATTGTTTGGTTACTACTCATGTGTATGCTCAGTAGTATGGTTCTTTAGATAATGATAAAAGAATCATTCCATTTTAAGAATTCTCAAGTACCTTAACAGTTGATCATCTTCTTTTGTCTAATTTTTAAGATTTTTCAAATATCAGACTGTTAAATCATATTTTCTGTCAAATTCTTATAGGATAAAATTTCCCCAAAACAAAGCTTATCAAAAAATAGAACTGTATCACTGTCACATTCAAAGAGTTTTTTGGAATCAAATCAAATTGAAATGACTAAAATAGACTTCAATCCTTCGACTTTACCTTTCGAAACTATTCAGATAAACGAATATACTTCGTCGGATGAGTTATCTTGTGATAAGATAAAAGAGGTAACACCTATATTGGATAAAGGATTGTCTTTTGTTTGTTCGACTACTTCTTCCAATGAAGATGGGACATCTGTTTCAGTCCCATTGATTGGTAAGTTAATACTTTTGTTCTTATCACGTGTATGATAATAAACTCTCCACTATCCTGGCTACTAGATAGGCTCATCATTGGACACTTTGTTGACTTTTCTATCCATGAAAAGTATACAATTCTTCGAAAATAAGCTTTTTTTTAAATGGTTTTTAATATTGTAGTGAACAAGAACACGAGTGGGGACAATGGAATATATTTGACACGAAATTACAGAGCGTCTCACAAAAATCTGAGGACCATATAGTAAATATTTTGTAAGCAGTGATGGATAGTGGCTAGCAGTGGAATCCAGGACGCGCGTTTCGTCCTATTAGGGACATATCAACTAGATGTACCTGCATCTCAGAGTTGATGTTCACTCTGAGACTCGAATCCAGTAACACACGCTTCAAACGCCATCGCGTTATTCACTCAGCTATTGAGTCCTGATATCCACCTGCTTGTGCAATGGGATGAATTTAAATTCACTTGGTATTGTTTGGCTTTTATCTTCGCATTGAGGTTTAAGACTGCAATTTATCAGTCTCCTGTTAAAAATGTAGTTGTATATAACAAAAAGAATACTGTTTATACACGATAGCTACTTTATTGTATCATGAATTATTGTCCACTTAACTTTATTCATTTGAAATAGATGTTTATTAAAAAGAAACAACCAAATATTACACGCTACAAATGGTGTGAAGTATAACATCTGTTTTGTTGATTTACATTTAGCAGGAGTATTTTTTATATTTTGTTGTTAGGAAAACGATATTTAAGCTATGTATTCATTCAATAGGCAATATGATGATCAATGTTCTTTTACAACCACAAAATAGGTTCACATATAATTCATCTTTACAGTTTGTATGTTATATTTAACAAAGGATGATTAAGCAGCTAGTTCGTATTAAGACCTGTTAAGTTAGGGGCGGCCAATTCAAACATTGAACTAGTCCACGAGGTCATTGACCATTGGACTGAGCCATGTTAACATGTGTAGACTATCTGGTTGATATCCATGTGATTGTTGTAACCAGTGCTTCAGTACCTAAAATGAAATGGCTCTACATCGTTTGTAATGGAGCATATGCATTCATTAATTGTCTTCTCTCTGATTCTAAGCATCTGAATTCCTCATATTTTTTATTTCAAAAATGTGTATTTGTTTGAATCTTATATTTGATGCCTAATCTTTTATATGAACACTAATACTGTTACTATCCCTACTGTTCTGGAATTTGCTATAACTCAGTAGCTGAGTGGATAACGCGATGGTGTTTGAAGCGAGTGTTTCTGGATTTTAGTCCCAGAGTGAACATCAATTTTGAGATGCAGGTACATCCAGCTGACGAGTCCCAAATAGGACGAAACGTGCGTCCTGGATTCCACTGCTAGCAACTATCCATCATTGCTTACAAAAAGCTTGTGAACTCAGGCAGTATCGAAGTATACGCACACTATGCACATATTCCAATAAGAGACTGATCAACTGCAGTCTTAAACCTCATTAGGAAGATACAAGCCAAACAATACCAAGTGAACATATAGTAAATAGTTAATTTGCAAAATATCAATCCATCGTCTCAAACCTGACTGTTCCTTTTGCAAATATCAGTCCATCGTCTCAGATTTTATTGTTCATGTATGTTCATACCAATCGTGTTCCGTTTCCGTTCTTTCCTTATCGATCTTCTACTGAAATACATTCTATATCTGACCATCGTTATATACTACTTATGTGGATATAAGTAACCCACACTACAATATCTGTAATTCATATTACCAAAAATTTGTTTATCCAGTTATGATTAGTAAATTATAAATCTGTATTAATGCATCTCAGTAAATATTACAATTGAAATATAAATTTATTGTGACTTTCAGTAACTTCATGTTTAGAATTATAGTCATCATTAATTCTATTCAAAAGTATTTTCCGATATATTCTATTACAATCTATTCAATCTTATATTTAAACTATTCCGATAACTAAGTTTTAGGAAAGATTAACTTATTGTCCATCATAATTTTAATAAATTATTGACAAAAATTACAAGGAAGGTAGATAGAGTAAAATTGACATTAAAATTTGTGAATCATTGTGTAAGTGTAGTGATTAGTCTAAATTCGACGACTCATTAGTTAATTTATTCGACTTTTAGCCACTTTATCACAAGTTTGAATACTGCTTCAACTATTTCGGTTTCGGTAACTGGGTAGTATAAGTAATCCTCCCATTTAGTGTAGTTCTAAGCTAAGTATATGATTGTGTATCTGGTAGATGATTTAATAAATTAATATTTAAATCTGTTTCATTTCAAAATCACAAGTTTAGTGAATGACAAATGTAATTTTATATTTTTAAACAATTTGGAATTGTAGTAGCAAATAAATTTGACTGTTGTCGACCCTTCACAGTTCACATAATCGATACCTTTCAATAAATTGTGATCGACTATACATGAGTAAATTAATCTGAACCTAAGGATGTTGTTCCGTTTTTTAGGTACATGGAAAACATTTTTTTGAATGCATAATATGGGATATGCATTTTGAAAGTTTAGAGTTTATGATTTTTTTCTTTAATTCAATGTATTTGTAATGTGAAATAAAGCAAAATATTTGTAACCCTCTAAAATTATATTCGGTTGTTAGTGTAAAGGATTTGTGGAGATTGCTAAATTTTATAATTTACATTATAGGCTGACCCTATTTAGTCAATAATATCGCAAATTGATTAAAGTTAGAAATGTAAACAATCGGATCCCTATTCAGCATTTTAGAGTTTGGTCTCTCATCCCAAGACCTGAAGATTCGGAGTTTGATCGTCAGTGCATTCGTTGATGCGCACTTCAGAAGAATCTCATCTTAGGACGAAATAGTCCAGTGCTTGTTAGTTTTCAATAGCTGTCTAACTTAGGTTATTTTATGATGTTAACTATAGTTCCGTTTGTTAGTTTGTTGGGTTCTCTGAACTAGATAAACCAGTCACTAATCGTTCATTACCATTCTGGTTAGAATATCATCAACATACACTTTAAATAAAAGATTTTTTTAAGATTATATTTCATAAGTAATAAATCAAATTGTTTTAATGATCCTGTCTGAAAATAGGTTAATTTGATACTTCTAGAACAAATTTTGTAAAGAATACTTTCATATAAAGTAGATACTATCGAGAACGTAATTAAAGCTTAGAAATTAAATCACAGTGCTCACAAAACGTAACATCATCGAGATATCTGTTGTGTTTGCTACAAATATCATATGATACCTACAAATTTCCGTACATTTTGTATTAACTAGAATAGGGAAAAATGTGTGGAAGAAGTTTCAGATTAGATCTAGACCAGGTTATATCACTAGTTCATACAGTTACTGAAAGTCTGTGTTGACTGCCATAGTTTATCTCTTGTTTAGGTCGATATAGACTATTTTGAATTTCTTATCAGTGGTTTTATTGTGAAAATCCTATCTGGTGTGACTCAAAATCAACCTGAGTGAATATGTGTTTATTTCTTCTGATAACAATCAATCAATCCATATTGGGGTCAACGGCGACTTAACTGGTAAAGCAATTATTTTTCAACCAATAATGAGTATTATAATATCGTACTTCACATACTTTGATTTAAGCGGATTGATACTCGAGTCATTAGCTATCATGCAATTAGTGTAATTGAGGACTGAGTACTTAGCATTCCTACTTGGTTTATTAGTTAGATGGAACAAAATTGTTTGTTTACATGTGTATTTTTGATTAATTTTGATATTCTGGGTTTTTGTTGATCTTCTCTACTATACTGTTAAAAAATGTTTAAAATTAAATCGATACCTTATTCTGCCAAGTCTCTGAGCTAGATCAATTAATTGCTAATTATTTGACATTAAATTGTAGTAAAACTTACTTGCAAATCCCCTGAAAAATGTTAAGCTGAATTATATATACATATATATGTAGACATTTCTGTATTGATTCGCTTGTTTGTCTTCAAAAGTTTCATTATTTCTGAGCGCTCCCTCTTTCTCTCTTCCCAATACGCATACCTACGTGAAACCAAAAAAAAAATAAAATAACAGTCACTTAGCATTTTTAAGTTTTATTCATCGTTGGTTATGTTTCCCTCTCCACCTCTATCTCTCTCTTCCCCCCTCCAGTCATCCATCCATCCTTTTCTTCCTACTACATTGTGTATTCATTTTTGAATCTGTGCCAAATAGAAGTTAACGAAACAATAGAAAAGGCATTTAGTACTATTGTAATTATTTCATTATATATGGAATGATTCCGTAGAAGAAAAATCGATTAAATCTAGGTATGTATCTATGTATGAAGTGAGACCTATTCGTTTCTTACAGATCTAATCAAAAGTGCTTTTATGAAAATTTTAAAATAAGTCAATATGTATGAAATCTTGTTTGGTGTAACTATTCTGGTTGTTTACTCTTACAATACATGATTTGTTTAGTAAAATAACTAAACCCATAATAAAAAAGAAAATGCTTTATTTAGCAAAACTTAGGGTATATAAATTTTATTCTCTTTTACTGATTTTCTATTTGTGACAATGCACTTGTTCCATCTCCGTTTTAATTGTTCAAAAACTTCATGCAAGTTCTTAAAAGTCAGACTCTGAAAATGTCTTGTTGTCTAACACAATTTAACCTAACTTTAATGTTTTATTAGAATATTATCAACCGACAGTTTTCTCAAATTCAGTTTATAGTCACTCAACTAGACATTATTACGGCCATTCGAAAGTAAAGCAGACTGTCTACGTTCTATGTTTCTATTGACATGGGAGGCTGACAATTAATTTAAACTTATATCATCCTTATAGTGTTCACACCACTCACTCAAACTATCGCTTCATTTGAAAAGAGCTGTCTTTTTTAAGTGTATTATCTTCATAAATAATCTTCAATATCTGAGCTTTTTGAGAGTTCTTCCCAACTTTCGCGAAAAACTACAGTAGCTCGTTCCGTATACACGGTGAACAGCTCATATAATT